GAGAATCGCGAGTGAAAATGTCAAGTGACACAAGAGGACTTACAAAATTCAATACCTATATTGTCAGTCAATCACACGTCAAAGCTACCTCTGTATTTTGAATTTCGGATTGAATATGTTTCGAGTATAATTTCTGAGTAAATTTGTTTCGAATATTTGAAAAATGTTACTAATATTAGCCATGCGAAATTGACATTAATACCACTCGTCTGTTTATTACTACTTTTTCCAACTGTTTCGTATCAAAGTACTTCTTTTCAGCTACCAAGCGACACAAAAGTTAGCAAATCAACAAAAATAGACGTCATATTTTTCATTTCAAACGTTCAAGCGTACGATGACAAAATTCTTTGACCAGTGCGAGAGAAATGGATCCATGTTCGATAGATCCGTGCATGCAAATCTAACGCAGTAAATTTGAGAGAGTGCGTGTACGGATACGTCTTCCGGTGTGTAAAGGAGATGCGATATGAGATTACAAAGCGTATTAGTGGCAGATTATACGCAGTGCACAAGACTTGGCTGTAACTAAAGATAGTGCATCCTGGTTTGTACTAAAGCCGTGTACACACGGGCATATGCGAGTCGAGGACACATGTCATTATTGCGCAGATAAACACACCGAATACAAAGATCGTACCTGTTATTAGGCGCTAAAGTTTCATTTCCCCTTCGTATTTTTAAATTTCTTTGTCTAATCTAATTTACTTAACTCTTTATTATATTTTACGTTTGCTTATTTGACAAGAATAGTTTTTATCTTTTTTATATATTAATTACTGGCTGTCGGAATAGTATTAAAAATCGGGCAAAAATTTCAATCCTTCTGATATATAAGTATTTTTGCTTTTTAGTTCAATCTCTTTCTTTAGATAATCGTGGTGTAAAGCATCTAAAGTGTTTCTTAAAATGAGAATACTATACATAGAAATAATGCATTCGATTTCATATCATTAGAGTTTTATTTGTGAATAATTTCTAAAGAAGTTGTATATCAAATAAATATTAGAGCTGACTAATTTCTATTGAGATAAATGCAAAATTGAAATAAATATCTTAAATTTAATTTCGTACCAATTGGAGTTGATCCATCTTGTACCAATAGTACCAACATTCTCTCTAAAGACGCAACTACGTCTGAGTTTCAAGATTTCGCCAAACGACGGTCCGATTGCTCGCCACGATTTCTGCCTCTAATCAAATTAATTCCGTCCAATCGTTCGAAATTCCTTTAAATCTGGCCGGTCGGCGGGACGGCCGAGGCACGGCGACAATAGACAGGGTCCAATCGCTGAACTCGCAAACGGAGCTCTTAAATCCAAAGGTTCGCAAGGAGCGTCGCTCTGACCGACCGGAGTAAAAGGACCAATTACAACGAATTACAACCGGCCTGCGCTCTTCCTTTTTCTCCCGGTCGCCTCCGCCTCCGCCGCTTCTCGAAACAAGATGGTATCGGTTTGGTCCTGCCAATCGATATCTCTCGCGAGGCCGATTCAATCGTCCGTGATTGTTGCCCTGCACTCCCAGGCTCCGGCTAAATCTCATTCTCGACCACGATCCTTCGTTCGTTCTTCTATCCATAATCCTTTCCCTCTCCTCTTCTTCTTCTTTTTCTTCTTCTTCTTCTTCTTCGATGTCTTCTCGTTCGTTCGTTCTCTCGTCCCTCGGGCATCAAACGATGATTGCATCCGAGGACTACGCCGGGGGGGCCGAGGAATCGGGTCACGTTCCAAAATCCTCTAACGCTGCCTCGTAAAATTTCTTTCGCGGAGAATGACCCGGTGGGACGGGTCGGTTTGATTCAGAACCGAAGATTGCTCGCCGATCGCGAAATTAATACGCTGTCTCAAACTTAACTGGATCTTTCGTTGGACGAGCGGAGATTGCTTGTTAGATTGGTTTTCCGTCGGCAGTTGAATTTCTGATTTTTTTCTTTTTTTCCTTACGTTGGAGCTGATTGCACGACTCGAAATTGGATCGTGGGTGGTGGAAGTTGGGCAATGTTTAATTGCAAGCAAGTGCGCGTGTGTTTTAACGTAATTGACATCCATTCCGAGAACGAATTGTTTTACCGTAAAGAAATATGAAGACACTCTTCGATGCGATGCGGTAACGAGTTAATTTAATTCAAATGTTCTATTAGCTGGATGACCCGCTTTATTCTGCGAGGGCGATTGTCTTTTCGAGTTTTTATTTTTTGAAGAGGAGTACTATATAAACAATATAAAAACTACACGAAATATCCAGCGTATCCAATGTTTTTTTTTTATAACACGTGAAATAATCTCCATAGCTCATCCACGTTCTACCTTTTAAATTACCATTCTCAAGAGTGTAGAAATTCGCAGCCTGTTAAATAATTTAAACGTCCAAAGCTAGTCTTATCCTCTATCGAACTATGTTTATCTAACGTAATAATATATTACAGTTAGAAAAATGAAATTTAGGGCCTAATTGGATGGTCAGGCCCTCCAGGTAAGATCGTTTAGAAAAAGCTTCTTTGCGAAATGACACATTAAGGGAACTGTCACTCTACCCGGGGCTTCAACAGACATATACGAAAATGTATCGGAATTCCTGAAGATCCTCGGATCCTTTTAGGATCCTTAGGTGCCCTCTCTCGCATGGCACGTACTACACTTTGCACTTTTCATCGAAACGCGCTCGAGCATCGAGGTTTAAGCCGATTTCTGATCCGCCGCGCGAAGCCCCGCCTGCTTGGATCAGCTTTATCCAGTTCTATCCGAAGATGTCCACGCGTTGAACCATCTTCTCTTTCTTTTCTCCTCTGACTATCTTTTCTCCCTCGACATCTGCGACGTAGCGACGATCGGATGAAGTTTCAATTTTCTTCTGTCTTCTAACGATTTCTTTCTCAACTATCAGTCAGATTGATTAGATGAAGGGACGTGGGAAAAATTCTTTGGAGTGTTATTCACTTTATTCCACTCGCATATTATTATTC